GTGGGCGGGAACTCTATCCCCTGAGCTCCAACCCCAAACCTTATTCTTATTTACCTTAAAGCCTGTTTTTTATGGTATATGCTTAGTTGTGGGCATTGCTTTGATTTCCCTTCCTGATGATGCTGTTACTGTGGAAATACAAACTAGAGAATTACCTTCGGAAGTGTTTTTTATTAGCTTGATTACCCCAATATCATTTAAGGAATTATTTAAATCTTGGAGAACATCACATACATTTTAAAGATATGTTTTGCTATCTATTTCATTTGGATGATCAGATTTATAAATGTCATATACTTTACATTCTCCCGATTCTTATATTTTCAAGTTTGTAGTTTCTTTTTCTTCTTCACCCTTTCCATGCATTTATTGGACTGTTTTCTAAAACTCTTTGAAGCAGCTTACCAGGATTCGCAGAGCGTAACGGGGTTATAAATGAAACACATATGGCGAAGAGCCATGGCAGTGGTAAAGCTGGCTCCTGACTCCCCATTGTCCCCATCTGTGTTTAGTCAAATGGCCCATCCTGCATTACAGGAAACTCCTGGAGCTAGCAGGGCCAGTGATTGTGTCACATGAACCATCTCCAGGAACAGGTGAACAAGGTGCCAGGGTCAGCTCTCTGCCTTTAAGGCTGAGCCAGGCACTCTTAACCCTTGCAGCGAGCCACCAGCATGGAGATACTAGCCTGCAGACGAGGACCGGAGACTGCTGACCAGTAGCTTGGGTTGTCTTTTAGCATAATGTTATAGGCTAGACCTGCGAGAAGAGGCGTGTAAACCTCCCCTTGCTTTTTGCACACTATTCCTAAGTGGCAGATGGTATTAATCTCATTTTAAAGGAAGGGAAAATGAAGCTCATAAAGGATGAATGCCCTGCCAGGGTAGTCAGGGAGGTGAAAGGCAGAGTTAGGGAGCTGAGTACGGGATTAGGTTCTATGTATGTAGTCCAGGCTGGCTTCAAAGCTAAGATCCTCCTGCCTCAAACTTTCCAGTCAGCTGCCATTATGCATTTGCATTAGTATTGGGAGGTGTAGTTCTTAAGAGTTTTTGGAGGATCAGGTTCTTGTTAGCTATAGTTCCTCTTAACATACTCCCATTTAGAGGCGAGAGAAAGAATTTTTGTGTTTCCGGGGGGGGGGGAGAATAAAGACTGTATATCAATGCCACAAAATCCCTCATAAATACTGTATTAATTTCCCTAATTGGTATTAGCAGACTTCCCCATCTAAATCCTTTGTCGTAAACTTTATACATTTTAAAAAAGTATTCTCCACCAAATTTAAGGGGCCCATGTCAGGTTGGCAATGTAGCTCAGTTGTTAGAGTGCTTGTATAGGACAGCCAACACCCTGGGTTCCATCCCTACCACTGTGACATAATGAGTTCAGGGTCAGCCTTGGCTCTGTTAGACCCTGTCTGAGAGAGAGAATTGGAGAGAAGAGCCCAAGACCTCTGTCTCGTTCTGATTGCAACACTTGCCTCAGGCCCAGGAGCAGTGTTGGGGTGTCCTTTCATCTGTCTTCGCACATGGCTCCAGCAGAGAGGTGCGGCAGAACTCTCTGCTTCAGGGCTGCCCTGTCTTAAGTTGGTTTACTCCTTGGAAACTTGGCTTGTAGTTGACTCCTTTCCAGTGAAGCTGCACAAGCAGCTTAGAGCCTGTGCCGCAGCTTGGTTTGCACTTGATGACACGTACAAGTCCTTGCCACGGTCTCCGGGGAGCCACTGTGGTTGTCCTTAGCTACAGCTTTGGCACATGTGCTGCCCGAGCCTGACCTCTGCTTTTTTTTTTTTGTTGTTGTTGTTGTTGCTGTTGTTATTGTTGTTCCAACTCGGACACCTGCTCTCCATCTCCGTGGATAATTTTTGGGTTTATCTATCCTGGTAAGGTTCCCGACTGTTTGAATATTACCTTCTCCCATCCTTCCATCTATCTCTGTTTCCTGCTGCTCCCCTTAGTTTGAGCTCAGCTAGGCAGTGCAGAGCGCCTGTCTCCCTCCCTGCCCCTCAGGACAGCGTTTGTGTTTGTTCCTCTACCTTCACCGGGCCACCTTGCTGACCTCCAAGCTCAGTGTGAAGTTCTACCACTTCATGCTAGGTCCCTGGTCTCATACACAAGCATTGCAAGCGAGTCTGCAGGAAGGCGCTGTAGGCCTGACCCAGACCTGTCCTGTGGGGCCTGAGCATTTCCACCTGCCCATGTGACCACATGTACTCCAGTTTCAGAAGCCTTGGCCCTTGACTTCTACATAGACTGTGACCCAGTTAAGGGAATCAGAACTGGATCTTTCTGTAGGAAGAACTGGATACAAAGTTTTTATTTCTTTAGTCTGTCTAAGCTTGGGCAATATATTCATCAGCATTTGAGAAAAGAACAAGTATATGAATGCACTTGAGGCAGTGAGGAAAGCTTGGACTGTTAGCAGGAGATTCATATAGCGCCCGACCGCTGCTATGAAAAGTAGACTTTTTGTCCTTTTTTCCTCTCCTTCTTCCTTCTTTCCTTTTTTTAAATGCTGGTGGTCAGACCTATACTATACTGAGCTAAAGCCCAGCTCTAAAAGAGAGCTTTTTTTTTTTTTTTTCTTTTTTTTTTTGAAAGAGTATTTGATTCAGCAAATATTTATAGTTTTCAAGTTTTTATTGTTTTAGACTTTGCTATTGGACAACTAAGCCAAATGATAGAATATAAAGGAGGGTGCAGAGAGGCCAGCAGAGGACCTCATTTCTTCCCGTCAGTGCATGTGTCTTCTCTTAGCTTCCTGGATAGCACAGGTAACAAGGGATAACTATAGTGACCCATGTTTCCATTCTGTCTTTAGGCTTTTGAGGCCCCGTTACATTGGGAAACTGAGGCAGCTCAGCTAAGACAGGAGTATGGGATTTGCACCCCAAAACTAAATGGTGAATGACTGTGGTGCTGCATGGTAGAAGCCTGCGGGGCTGTGAGTCGCGGACTGATGGAAGTCTCCCCCAACTTCCGGCCCCTTATTTGGGCTGCTTTATGCTGCTCCTGTGGTTTTGTTGGTAGGATCCTGACTGGGGCTGAGCTCTACCCACTCTTTAGAATTTTGTAAGTTATTTCTCTCTCTCTCTCCTCTCACACACACTCACACACATGGGGGAAGGAGGAAAGGGAGAGGGAGTTTGCTCCACAATGTCAGAACACCTGGAATTCTTGGTGTATAGGATGTTAAATTACGGCCATTTATGTACCAAGGGCTAAAAATTGTATTTTTTTTTCTTCAAGGAAAAACAATTTACTTAGATGTGAACTTTGGTTATTCATTGTCCTTTTTGATTAATAATCTGAAAGATTGGCGGTCAGAAGCCAGGAAGGCATTCATTAACAGTGATAATTCAGAGTATGTCTTCGGCCAAGATACTTCCTCCATTCATGTTCTGTGTAAATTGGACCCTACCTCCTGCTTCAGACTGAGTTGGGGAGGTATTCTGTTGCCCACTGGGTGATGTTTACTCAGAAAAGAGTGTCCCAGGATGTATTTCATTTCTCATCTAGAAGCATCTCATGGCAAAAGAACCTGATGGCACTGAAGAAACAAATGACACCGGACCTTAGGTTGACTCAGATCTGGGTCAAAAGATACAAGTGGTTGAAAATTGTCAGACCTAGAAAATCAGCTAGCTGGCTGAGGGGAGTGAGGAAGAAAAACATCTGTACAGGATGAAGGGAAAATAGAAAGGTAAATTAGTTTCTCAGAGCATTAGGAAGAGCTTTAAGTACATGTAGGTATTAAGGTATGTGCCTGTGTTGAGAGCTGACATATTTTAGCCAAGTTATCTGATGTTCATGATCTTTTTAATAATTTGAGGATTAGGTCATACTAGATAGACACGATTGTAGCCCAAATTGGAATGTGCTGGTTAGGCGGCCGCGTTAACTCTAAGTTAACCAGAACTGCAGTATGGACCATGCATGTGGTTGAATGCCCAGATGCTCCTTTCTTTCATAACCAGCGTGTAACGGCACATATAAAGCTGCTTGGGTGACCGACTAGGGGTGCTCTTTTGCTATTGGATAGCGCCGTGAAGTAAATGGCACTTCAACTTTATGGGCTGTGGGTTTATGGTCATGACTTTAAACACCAAACTAAAACCGGTGCGACCTTGAGCATAGCATTGAAGCTTTTCATGTGCTTTATTTAAAAGCTTTGTCATTTTATGTAACCACATAAAGTTTGCTCTCTGTGGCAGTGTCTGCAAAGCATTGCTCTCTGATGTCTTAGTGAAGAGGACAGTTAATGTACTGTGGGTCTTAGAATCTTCAGCCCGGCTCCAATTGCCAGGATCTCTTTCAGAGTGAGACACTGTATCTGATAGTTCCCAAGCTTGTTTTACCTTGCCCACCTCCCGTCCCCCACCCTCCCTCCTTTTTCTCTGGAGGAATATCAACTGTGGCATAGTTTGTGAAATGATAAGCTGGCATTTGCTCAGTTACCACACTGAGGAAACAGAGGCAGTGTTGTCTCCTTTTGGATGAGAGTGGAGATACGACCACCAGAGCAGAAGCTGGTCATGGGGACCCAGTTCTCCTTGTAGCTTGCCAGGCTTGTGTTTCTCTTTATCGATGCCTTCAGTTCAGGCAAGGAGCGCATAGTTCCGTGTTGCAGAGCCCTTGGCTGGCAGCATAAGGGTCATCTGCCTAATACACTGGGCTGAAGTTCCTCTGTCCTGTGACAGGCAATATAAGCAGTCTGACCAAAGTGTGGTCCTCCATCCGCTGTTTTTCTGAGCGCCATCATCTCCCTCGAGGACTTCTGAAAAGTTGCAGATAGTTCGTGGGGGTGGGGGTGGGGCAAAGGGGTATTTCCTCCTGGGTTTCTACAGGCCTTTTTTTTTTTTTTTTTCTCTGAGGGGGAAATTCATCGGAAAACTGGAATTTCTTGGCGAGCATTGTTTCAGTAGTCTGATAACCAAAGGAAGGGACAGAGGGCAGGTTGGTTACAGTTCTAGATCTGTTTTTCTTCTTTTTTCCTTACAGAAAGAAATTCAAGCCATGAGTCAGTGCAGCCACCCCAATGTGGTGACTTATTATACCTCCTTTGTGGTCAAAGATGAACTTTGGCTGGTCATGAAATTACTAAGTGGAGGTAAGTGAGTTACGTTATTTGTTTTTGATGTCTGTTGTTTTATGGGAGCCGTCATTCTGAGTAAGATTTTAGACTTGATGCCCCTCATTCCTTGGCTTGAAAGGCCAGATTTTTTAACATTGACACCCAAAGCTTTTCATAATTGGGTTTAATGTCCTAGAGTGTCCATGTCCCTTTATCCAGGTATCGAATCCCTTCCCCTTCTAGGTTAGGTGATGCCACTCTCCCTGACGACGATATGTTGTTCTCAGAGGCCTCTAGCACTTCCCTTTCCTGTGCCTCTCTCCTCTGCCTTAGAATGCAATCATGTCCTCTCTGTAGCCACCCACCATTTATTCTTTTCGGGAATCATTGGTCAATCTTTGTCAGTGTGTATGAACTGCTCTAGCACCACGCTGCACCTCAGCCCAGCCCTTCCTCTTCAAAGTCCTTTAAACACAATTCAGGTTCATAGAATGTTGCATTCTGTGATAAAGAAAGGGTTCCATGGACTCTCAAGCCCTGGCATGGTGCCTGGTGTGGCAGAACCTAAGTTTCTGTCCTGTGTTTCTTCACACATTTTTAAGTTATCTGTGGTGGCTGGAGGCTATGAGCTGGTACTGGTCAGAGCAGAAACTGTGAACTCCCCAAAGAAAGAACCACCCACTGAACTTGATGCGTTGAAACTGGCATCCTGTGGCTAGGCACTGCATTTTGCTAGAGTTTACACAGAGAGAAATATTGTAAGAGGAGGTTTTTCTTCCGTCCTTAAGCTTCCCGAATAACGACTCGTAAGACTCAATTATTATTTTACAAATGCCTAGGCCACACAGCTAGGCTCTTCTCTGACTAGCTCATAACTTAAAATACTGCATTATATTAATCTACATTCTGCCATGCGGCTAACTACCTAAGCTCAGGCCCAATATATCCTTTCCTCCTCACACCTTGCCAGTGAATCTCTCCTGTGCCTGACTCTATCCCAGAATTCCATCTGCCTTCCGGATGTCTCACCTATTTCTTGCCTCAGCTATCGGCCATTGATAGGTGTTAATTGACAGGTGTTGCCTCCATATAATACACAAGGGAGCCCCTCCACAGAGAAATGCTTGTCACTCTACTGGCTTGCAGTGTTCGCTGCTCTTGGAAAGAGATCTTCAGCCTCATCGCTCTCAAGTTACTGACAAATTACTTTATAAGGCTTTCTCACATCCACGATTTTATCTGAAAAACAAAAGAAAACAAAACAAAACAAAAAAATAAGCCAACACCTCGATATCAGCACCTCGACATCAGAGAAGGAATGAAAATGATAACCATTGGTATTCCTGGACACTTACTTTTGTCCAAGACAGTTCGTGCTCAGTGTCACCACCATTCCCATCACGCAGAAACCTCATGGAAGCCTGGGAGTTACTCAGTGTGTCCCATGTCTCTAACTCTCACGAACTTAAGGACTGGCACTACAGGAACGTGCAGGTGTACAGACTCTCTCATCTCACACTCCTGGACATCAAAGCTAGAAGGCCTGCATGGTTTCCTCTGCAGGCCTGCATTCTCTCCGTGTGGTCTCTCTCTCTGGTGATGCTCCTTGTGTAAAGAAAGCTCTGGACATGAAGGAGATCTTAGAAGCAGGAAACAATTCTGTGGTGATTCCGTAGAGCCAGACTTAATGTAGCTGGATTTTTAGACCCAGTACCAGCTAAGAATAAATTAGGGATGTATTTTAATTCACTACTTGTTTAAAAAAAGATTTATGTACGTATATATGTGTTTTATGTAGATGAGTGCTTTATCTGCATGCATGCCTGCATGCCAGAAGAGGGCATCAGATCTCATTATAGACAGTTGTGAGCCAGCATGTGGGTGGTGGGAATTGAACTCAGGAACTCTGGAAGCAACCAGTGTTCTTAACCGTTGAGCCATCTCTCCAGCCCCTAAGTAATTACTTTTTAATAAAAGAAACTCTGATGTCAAGCAGAGGCCCAGACATAAGATGGTAAGTCTCTATTATTAGAGTGAGTATACATGGGTGGGTCTCGTGGCATTCCAGAGAACATTTCTTGCTCTCTTAGTCCCCTCCACATAAGTCCTGTTTTCTTGAGTGCTTGCTTTAGTTTGTAATTAAATAAAAAAAGAAAAGTCAGAAAAAAACCTATAGAACCGAATTGTCACCCTGGACTCCCGAGCTCTCGCTGGCTTCCCTCTGGTATGTCCGGTGCTATGGCAATAAGACAGTTTTAGCCACTTGAGGCAGAGTGTCACAGGTTCCACTGTCTCTGAGAAAATGGCCAGTTCTGATGACCTGGACCCCTGGAAGTCTCAGATTCTCTGTCCCAGTTGAAGAGTTCACCTCAGTTAGCCTTTCGCATTCGTGAATTTGAGAACATCCCTGGATTCTTTTTGAGGACCCAATAGAAAATGCATTGTCTGTCTGAGAGTCCAGTCATCTCCAAACAGGGCTTTAAAAGGTAAGATTTTAGGTTTACAGCAGGCTTCCACAGGAAAGGGGAATGCAGACAGATGAGGACTCGTGAACATCCCTTTCTGACAGCTAGAAATACGTATCTATTGGTTAGGTTTTACACTTTTAAGAATAAAGTGTTTGGAGTCACCATTTTTATCAATGACCTAAAAATCAAAGAGCTGATATATAAACAGATGCTTTCTCCCCCCTGGGAGGGAAATTCACATTTGTTTTTTGCTATGCTATTTGACCACATGGAATCCCCTAATGAGGGGGCCCGGGCAGCTGGTTTAGTACAATAGTACCTGATGGGGAGACTCTGTCCTCTTAGTTAATCATAAAGAGCCTCGAGCAGACGCAGGTCTGAGGTAAGCCATTTGCTAACTCTTCAAAAATGCTGTTGATTCAGGTAATTACAGCTGCAAAATGACCCAGAGGTGTGGAATAGTGAATTCATAGTGCCTAGGATATACCAGTCTGTATATAGTAGCAAAGCACTAGTCCTTATTCATTAGAAAAACCTGTGCATAAAGCATAACATGAAAATCACAGTTGCCTAGAGTCTCACAGAGACTCCGGGGGTTAGGGGCAGCAGTGTGGAGGCACCATGCTTGCCCTGCCTTCCACCTTTGAAGTAGGTCCTGAGAAGAGCTGTTGTCACCGCTTCCTCTTGATTGTCTTCTGCCTTTCCTCTTCTTCTGAACAGTGTTTGCGTCTTGACTTCACTTGTTTTCTTCTTTTAAAAAAAATATTTTCAAATATGTCTTTATACTTTTGTAATTTTTAAGTGATTTATTCATTTCTATTTTATGTACGTTGGTATTCTGCCTGCTTGTGTGTGTGTGTCAAATCCCCTGGAACTAGAGTTACAGACAGGTGTGACCTGCCATGTGGGTGCTGGGAATTGAACCCAGGTACTTTGGAAGAGCAGCCAGTGCTCTTAACCAGCCCTTTATGTCCTTTTAGTAGATCTATCAGGTTTTTTTTTTAAAGACTGTGTTGTTCCAGCTCTTTCTGAACCCCTGAACTCAAGACATCCTTGCATTTCAGCCTCCTGAGCACTTGAGGACCACAGCCTTTAAACCTCATCTATTATTATTTCTATTATTACTACGCCTGTGAGTGAAGGGTTATGATACCTGTGACACAGGCATGCGTATCGAGGTCAGAATGCCTTGCAATCTTCCCTTTTTTCTTCCTGCCATGTGGCTCCCAAGGAGCAGAATCAGATGGTCAGGCTTGGCAGCAAGTTCCCTTTTACCTGTTGAGACCTCTCTCATTGCCTCCCCACCCCTGCCCACCACCACCAAAAGAACGTTTAATTTATTTTTTTAAAAAAATATGCTGGGATCCATCCATCCAGGCCCTTTGAAGTAGTCAAGATTCTCTAGGGGAACAGAACCTTTATGGGGCTGTATGTTCTACAAGTGATTATAAAAGTGAAATTGGTGTAAATGACTGGAGGTTGAGCAGTCCACCATGGCTCTTTGTGCAGGGAAGAGGTAGAGGACCTGGCAACTGGCTATTCAGCAAAGCTGAAAGCCTTCGAAGCCGGGCCCAGTGATGCAGCCTTTATCCGAGGCTGGAGACCTGGTGGCTCCCTGGGGTCACCGGTTCCAGACTGCACTGAAAGGCCGGTGTCTGCGGGGGGCGGCAGCAGCAGCAGCAGCAGCAGCAGCAGCAGCAGCAGCAGCAGCAGCAGCCACAGCAGGCGCTCTCACCCAAGTGGGGCTTGTGTGTGTTGGTGGCGTTTCTCTCTTTTTATTTTATCCAGGCCTCCAGCCTATTCAGTGCTGCTGCCTCTATTTGGGGCAGGCAGGTCTTTTCCCCCTAAGCTACTGTCCCACCTGCCAGTCATCTGTGAGAATACCTGTGTGTGCTTCATTTACTCTTAGGAATTTCTCAGGACAGTGAGTTTGATTAGGAATCCTAATCGTCACAGCCTTGCACACGCACATCAGATCACACAGTTTTTCACCCCCTCCCCTCAGCTTTACGTGTATGTGTTTATCTTGTATGCCATGTGTATGTGGCCAGAAGACACTGGATCCTGTGGAGTAGAAGCTGTGGGCCACCCAATGATGGTAGCTGTGGGAACTGAAAAGCAGCCAACGATCTTCTGTGCTGAACCATTCAACTGAGCTCTAGTTCCTGATTCTTAATGAGAATCTTCTCAACTTCACACTGAAAGTGTCGTTACCAGCTTATTAATAGATGCAGTGTTTCTGGCCTTGGGCATGGCATTTGATTATTACTATTCAATATTGAAATTAAGTGAACAGATTCTATTTTTGGTGTCCCTATCTGGGTTTTAATAGTAGAGGGTTCTTAATCTAAAATAAAATGGATTTTCTTATAAAGGCCATCTTTCCAATGCTTCTGTCTGTCCACACAGGTTCCATGTTGGATATCATCAAATACATCGTCAATAGAGGAGAGCATAAGAATGGTGTTCTGGAAGAGGCGATAATCGCGACAATTCTTAAGGAAGTTTTGGAAGGTTTAGACTATCTGCACAGAAATGGTCAGATCCATAGGTACGATTTCTTCACAGTCTGCTCTTCATATTGTACAGCTCTAGTTTGTAAAGAATTTCAAGGAAGTGTATTTTGCAGGTGGGCCTTTGTGTTATTCAAAAGTAATACTTAAAAACAAAACAAACCTCCAAAGAATAAACATGGATTCATTTCCTTGGTATCTTTGGTATCCTTGGGGCTGGTTCATGTAGTGAAATTGAAATAGAGCAAATGTAGTAATTGCTGCATGGGCCCATTAAGAAATTAGTTAACATAATTGCTCTGGAAGTGTACTTGCTTGACCTGATGGCCTCTCCCTCTTCTCACGGGAGGTAAGAATGTTAACATTCTGTGGTAACAATTTTGGACCTGGGGTAAGAGAGAAGGAGGCAACACTGATTTCTTCTTCTGCAACAGGAACCAACAGACTGTGAACACAGGATGTTTCTAAAGCAACATTATTACTTTGCCTCTTAGGAATGTTATAAGTTAATAACATTGCTCAACCCGGAACAACACGAGAGCTGTAGATTTAATGATCTGTGCCGTATTTTTTTAATATTTGTTTCTTAATTATCACTTTCTTTAAGTATTAAAATTGCTCCACGGAGCTTCCATATAGTGAAGAAATACCACATAGAATATTATAATTAACACTTCGCCTTAGTATCACCCCATAGGAGAGATCGATCAAATTCATGTTAAGTGGGCTATGGGACTGTTTGGATTCGTGCCTCAGGCTCTAAGTGGAAGCAGAACAGTTCTACCAAGACAAGGATTTATTTCTTGATAAATATGGCAGACTTGTAGCTGTAAGGATAATCACTAACTCGGAGACATAAAATAGTCTACTCAGTAGTGATTTAATTAAATGCAGATAATGGCTTCACATAAAATATTTGTTATTAAAATCCCTACTGTGCCTTGGGAGCAAAGTATGAATTGACAGTATGCACTTACAACTTTTAAAAAGCTGTGATGTGACTTTGATATTCTCAGTATAATGATTGTGTCCAGCAGTTGGCTTGTGTTCTGTATGTTAAAATCTTCCTGAGAGTGAGTCAGTGTAATACATAATCTATGCTTTATAATTTTTCCTCTGCTGTTTTTCTCCTAACAGGGATTTGAAAGCTGGCAATATTCTTCTGGGAGAGGATGGATCGGTACAAATAGCAGGTAAAGCTGTTAAAGATGAAGAGCCTCCCTTGTTTACAGACCTTCATATTTTAAGCAATGGAGGACAGCTCCCATGAAGTAGATGTTTTAACAGTGTGTCTGGCCTACCCTTCTCTAATGGACACACCCTTTCAGAATGCCTGGGACTGGAGCCTGGATGAATCATGACTAGTTTGCCAGATAAATAATGCTATTTTAGCACAGAACCTTTTAATAATGATCTGATTTTCAATTTTATTATTCCTACCTGAATAGCTTTTCTACTTTTCAGACTGAATAAAGATGATATTTATATACCTGCAGGAAAAGCCATTTGGAAAAATTGTTTTTGCTTGAGATTGAAATTTTAAAACATTATATACATTAGTCTAGAAAGCTTTTATTTCTCTGTGCCATTGAGTGACCACATCTGGTGAGTATGTTCCATGCTTGGCTCCTGTCATGTTGTGGTTTAGAGTTGCCAGAGTATCTTGAAAGCCTTGGCAGAGAAGGTATGCACATCCGTATTTTCTCTTGTTCTGCCTCAGGTCCTTGCAAGTCTGCCGCAGTCATCTTTTCAGCCATCACCATCTTTTTTGTGCTGGTGATTGTGGCTGGATGGTCCTTTCCGGTCGTGGCCTGTTACTGCCATTTCTGAGGGTTCAGCGTTCAGTCTTCCAGCAGTTAGATATTATTAGCTGCTATTGCTAGCACCATCCTTGGTGAAAATCACATTCAGCTCCTGTTAGTAAGAGTGTTGAAGTGTGTCTGATGCTGAGGAATCAGCTTCATTGGCTTAATTTTGAGTTGTAAGAAGAATCCTCTGTGCTCACATAGATCTAGGCCTTGAGCATACCTAATTATTGAACCAAAATCAACCACAGTGCTTTATTCTAGACAAAAGAGTGTTTTGTCTGGAACCTGGGATCTGTAGAGATGGCTCAGAGAGTAAGATCACTGGCTACTCTCGAAGAGGATACAGGTTTTATTTGCAGCATCCACATGTAGTTCAAAGCCATCTATAACTATAGTTCCAGGGAACATAATTCTTGTTTCTGTGGGCTTTGCCAGCGTACAGATATACATGCTGGCAAAAGAGTCAAACACGTAAAATAAACTAATTATATATTTTTAAAGAATTGAAAGAAAAGAAAATGCAGGAGTTAAACAGAAAACAAAATCTAACTGAGAGGCTAAGCTTCTAAATTTTGGGGTGCTGGGATCAAATGCAAGGCTTTGTGAATAGTACGCAGGTGCTTTGCTGTGAGCGCCACCCTCAGCCTCAGGGCCTGAACTGTGGCCAGCTCTGATTCTGTTTGCTTGTCTCTTGCTCCCACCCTGAGGTGAGACTCAGGGCAGTGGGCAAGCAGGATATTGATGTGGCCTCTGTAATTTTATATGTAAAGAGCAACTTTTGAGTTCTCTTTTAGAGGAGAGAAGACATTTTTTAGAGATGCAAATGAAATTTCTGATTTTCATAGAATATGAATATGTTTTCCCTCAGAGAACATGAAATGGAAGTAAATTGGTGGACAAGGTAGATTTGGTCAAGTGTAGTAGTTGGTTTAAGACATCTGGAAGCAACTTTGTGTCTCAGTTAAGCCAAAAGGCTTTGACATGCTGATTTACATCCACTGTGTGTCTCATTTAGGGCTTGTTGTTGTGTCTTTTAGCCTCACTTTCTCCATCTGTAACTGCTTACTGCGCTGGCAGGTACTGATTAACTTTGTAGCTACCGCACCTTAAGACTCAGGTGTTTGGGTAGGTGATTTCTTGCACCTATGTGGCAACTCTAGCTATGCAGTCTAATGCCCTCTTCCGGCCTTCATGGGTACCAGGTACACGTAGACATACATGTAAGGAAAACATCCATACACATAAAATGAAATAATAATAATAATAATAATAATAATAATAATAATAATAATAATAGTAATGATAATAAAAAGACTCAGGTGTCTGTGAGTTCATCAGACCCTGGGAACTGGAAAGTGTTCTAGGTGGACAAAGGACCATTTTGCATGCAAACATTTCTGTTAAACTGTCTGAAAGGAGTCTAGGAAACAGGGGCTAAGATCTTTACAACTTGCAAGATTCAATTAATTAATCAATTAAAGTTGTTTCTGTGTGAGTATATTGATGGCACTGTACGTGTGTGAAAGGTGGGGACAACTTGTTGGAGCTGGCCCCCTCTTTCCACCTTGCCGTGATTTCTGGAGCCCACATCTGGATTGCCAGGTTTGCAGGGCAGGCCCCTTTACTCATTGCATCATCTTGCTGGTCCCATTACACATTTCTTTTAAGGAAAGAGATACATTCGTACAGAAACTTTGCATTCATAATTTTACATCGCCTGTGGACTGTGTTCAGATTCTGTGTCTCTTGTCCTATGAAACCTGGACCTACCCCTGCACATAGGGTTGTTGTAATTAATAAGCATACGAAATGCTTAGAGCAGCCAATAAAATGGACAGTGGCCAAAAGCAGTCTAGTGAGCACACGGTAGAAGTGGAGTTTTATATAAAGGGAAACCACGCTCAGTGTCACAAGTGGAGAAATTGAGCGTGAGTGTGTATTGAGAGGCCTCGACCACAAAGCCAAAGGGTAAAACACTAGTAACAGCACAAAGAGTCACACCCACAGTGCAGACGAATCTGGTGGTGTCTCTCACAACGCTTCTGGTCAGCCATGGTGGGGCTGTGGCATCTCTGGAGTCTGCGGCGTGTCTTTCTGAGAGGGCGCTGTTAATCAGTTCTTAGCACACAATTCCGGCTCTGCTAGGAATCCACCTATCTCCGCATGTGTTTAGAATGTCAGAGGCCTAAAGTTTATTTGTTGGAGGTTTCTTTTTGGAAGGGTGTGTAGCCTCGACTTGAACTTGCGGCAGTCCGGCTGGCCCAGCCTCCCAATTACTGGGACCACATCTCCCCCATGCCCAGATAAATTGCTGGAGTATTTGTTTGTGAAAGCAAAAGATGAGATGTAACGCTAGTGCCTTAAGTGTAGTAGACACAGTATGCTTACATAATGGGAGACCCATCCACGCTAAAGGACAACGAAAAACTCACCGTTGCGTAAATAAATTAAAAAAGGGGACAGATGGTATTGCCTTTGTGACTGAAATGGGGAAAACTGAAAGGATCGCTCTGACTTTGCACATAGATGCAGGGAGTTTAGTCACACAGGAGTTAGACTATTCATGTACCTAGCACTTTGAATTTTAAACTGTACATCTGGCTGTCCCTATAAAACAAATTCAGTGGCTTAGCAGAGTTAATAATACACTACCTATAAACTGGATCATTTTTAGTTATTTCGTGTGTGTGTGTGTGTGTGTGTGTGTGTGTGTGTGTGTGTGTGTGTGTTGTTTGTGCAGACCAGAAGTTTACCTTGTGTTTAGTTCCTCAGGTGCTGTTCACTTTGGTTTTTATTTTTTATTTTTTATTTATTTTTTAAAGACAAGGATTCTTATTGGCCTGGGACTCATCAAGTATGTTAGGCTGGTTGGCCAGTGAGCCCCAAGAATCTGCCTATCTCTGCCTCCTCAGAGATGGGGTTACAAGCAACAGCCCGAGCAGTTTGCCTTTTAAACCTCTGTTCTAGGGTCAGACTCAGTACTGATGCTTATGTAATGGCCTTTTTTACCAACTAAACGATCTCTCCAATCCCCAGTCTCAGATTTTTCATTATAAAAAAAGTCGAATGCCCGAAGTTGTAAAAGTAGTTTTTATTTGTCTGATGAGATTCTCATCTGTGAGGCTTACTACGTCCATCTGCTAACCTAGGCCGAGGCCTGGAAGCTTCTAGCCTCTGTACAATCTAATCTAGGCCTAGAATGTTTCCAGCCTCTGAGACTCACTACAGAATAATTTCATCCTCTCTAGTTCTTTTTGAACTCTCGCTGGTTCAACTCAGCTGTTCTTGCTCAAACTCTTCTACAAGCTGACTGATTCAAACTGGCTTCTCTCAGCTTCTGACTAAATTGTTCTGCTTGGTCTCAGACTAACTCTAGCAATCTGTTCTAATCTTTGGTCTCCTCATTCTCTGGCTCGTTCTGTCTTCACCCGTGCCTCGCTTGTTCTTTTTTTTTTTTTTTTTAACCTGTCTCTATAAAATTCTCTTGGTAAAACTGTTTACTCTTTTCTCTCTGTGCTGCTCTCTCATAAGTCTCCCCTCTTTCTCTTCTCATGGAAGCTGGGCCTATCTTATGTAAAATATTTCTCTTGTTTGTCACTGTGCCTGCCTCTCAATTAGACAGCACATTCAAACATAGGTGCTTCCTTCTGCAAACTTACTTTAGCTTCACTGTTTGGGATTAAAGGTGTGTGCTAAGGTCACGTCTGAATTCCAGCCAGATCACACAGAAGATCGCCTAGAAGGTCTTTGAATGTGATCATAACAGCCATGTTGCTGGGTTGAAATTCCTCTACACGCAGGGGTAGGAATGATCCTTCTCACACGCCAAGCTTGGCTTCAGTGCTTTTCACTATTCGTTCTCTCTCTATCCTTCCTCCTGTGTTTTGGCGGCTTATGTTGTTCATATGGAATTTTGTTCTTCTGGCATGTAAGTAGCAACTTAATACATGTGCATTTTGTCAGCCCTTGGTGAGTGTAGGACTCCTTATCCAAAAGACGAGGGGTAGTATGGAAAACTACTTCGGTTTAGGCAGTGACAGGCAAGATAAATGTGAGTAAAACTGTGAAGCTGCACAGCCACAAGCAGTCTCCTCAGGTGGCTGCAGACTGTCAGCTGGTTGACATTCCCAGGCCGTCACTCAGTAGCTCCATGATGTTGGATAAGTTACCAAGCTTCTCCAAGACTCATTTCCTTTAGAGAGGATTAAAGAAAATATTGCCCTTTTTAACAGTGCTGGCACACAGTAGGTACGCTGTAGCTATCAGCAGATGCTGTTGCTATGGTGACTAAGTGGGACTGTCATTCCTAGCATTGCTGCAGCCAGCAGGAAGCCACTGTCACTACCTGGAGGTCATATATAACCTCAGATTTGTCTTGCAAGGGA